CTTATGGCAATGTTCCCATGGTGAACATAACGAGTAACTTAGACTTATCATATGGTAGAGTTGAATTATACTTGCATATGATAGAGTTGAACTAAGTTGGCGATGTTTCTGAATGGAACATGACGAATAACTTAGACTTATTATATGGCAGAGTCAAATTATACTTGCATACGATAGAGTTGAACTAAGTTGGCGATGTTTTGGAATGAAACATGACAAATAACTGAGACTTATTATATGGCAGAGTCGAATTATACTTGCATATGATAGAGTTGAACTAAGTTGCCAACGTTTCTGAATGAAACATGATGAATAACTTAGACTTATTATATGCGGAGTAGAATTATACTTGCATATGATAGAGTTGAACTAAGTTGGCGATATTTCTGAATGAAACATGACGAATAACTTAGACTTATTATATGGCAGAGTTGAATTATACTTACATATGATAGAGTTGAACTAAGTTGGTGATGTTTCTGAATGAAACATGATAAATAACTTAGACTTATTATACGGCAGAGTTGAATTATACTTGCCTATGATAGAGTTGAACTAAGTTGGCGATGTTTCTAAATAAAACATGACAAATAACTTAGACTTATTATATACCAGAGTCGAATTATACTTGTATATAATAGAGTTGAACTAAGCTGGTGATGTTTCTAAATTTAACATGACAAATAACTTAGACTTATTATATGGCAGAGTCGAACTATACTTGCATATAATAGAGTTGAACTAAGTTGGCGATGTTTCTGAATGAAACATGACGAATAACTTAGATTTATTATATGGCAGAGTTGAATTATACTTGCATATAATAGACTTGAACAAAGTTGGTGATGTTTCTGAATGAAACATGACGAATAACTTAGACTTATTATATGGCAGAGTCAAATTATACTTGCATATAATAGAGTTGAACTAAGTTGACGATATTTCTGAATGAAACATGACGAATAACTTAGACTCATTATATGGTAGAGTTGAATTATACTTGCATATAATGGAGTTGAACTAAGTTGAATTAACCTGGACTTGCCGTATCAGCAGAGTCAAACTCAGAATGGAACTACGTTCATTAACAGAGAAACCAAGGTTGAAACACCTCGGGAAGCCTTTGTTTGAATCTAACTTCGACAAAAGACCATAGGCACATTATAGCGATCCCGGTTTTCCCTCCATTGAATATTGTATTTCGGACTTGGTTCCGTAGACGTGGGTTGTTGTATTTAGCTTGTTTCCGTCCTTCAATACTTTGTATTTGAGTTATAGGATGTTTTGAGCAGGTTCGTTTCAGGTTGGTTGTGATTGGAAGCATATGGTTGCTGTCCATTTTTTAGCCTCTTCGCTCGAGCCAGGACTTTGTCGCTCGAGCGAGCCTTGTGTTGTTGCTTATTCACTCGAGCGGGGGTTTGTACGCTTGAGCGAGCTTTTCGTGTCTTCAGGTTTTGTTCAGACGCAGCCTTGGCTCGAGCGAGCTTTCCTGCGCTCGAGCGAGTGAGGACTATGTTTTGGAGTTCTTCGCTCGAGCGAGCTTTTCTTCGCTCGAGCGTGCTTCTGGGTTGCAGACCTGAAGCTTCGTGTTGTTCGCTCGAGCTAGACTTTGTGCGTTCGAGCGAGGTTTCTTTGTGTCTGGTCGCTCGAGCGACCACTTATTCGCTCGAGCGAGGAACGTATATATCAGTTCGCAGCAGCAGCTTCTTCTTCACTTTTTGATTTCCCCTTTTTGTCTCAAACCCTAGATTCGACTCTCTCTTTCTCTACACTCACCTTCTCTCTAGGGATTGATCTAGTTCTTGGGTGTTCCTACCCTAATCTCTTTGTAAGAAAGATAGAGGGTTGCGTGGGATTCGTTTTGATTCGAAAAACTTTGGGATTGGAGCATTTCCGAGTTTGGCTCTTCTTCCCCTTGGGTTCTCCATTTGAGGTAGGGATTCTCCTTGTTCCTTTTCAATACTCCGTCTATAGATAGACATGTGGTAGTTTTGTATTGCATGAAAATCATATAATGTTGAATTTCTTTGAAAACCATGTGAGGGAACCTATGGTTGGTTGTTTGAGAATGATTAATTTATCATTGATAGTTCTTTGGGTTAATTGGAGTGTAAATTAGCATGTTGTTGTGGAAAGAAGAAAAAGTCCTAAATTATATTTTGTTTTGGTAAATTAAAGAGGGAGGTTGATTGAACAATAATTGTAAATTACTATTGTTAATATGAGTTGGGTGGAGGTATTAATGCCTATAGGATTAACTATAGCTTTGGGGTTGTTTTGAAATGAATGTATTGAACCGAGTTAGATTATGACTTTTATTATCCATGGAATTGATTTTGTAAAATAAAAAGAATGAAATTGATTTTGTGAATGAGAAAAGTGTTTTTGGGAATAAGTGGTGTAACTTGTTGATTTGGAAAGTTTATGAAAGTTGACCTTGAAAATGGAAAATGAAATGTTAACTCTATGTGAGTCTCGGAGAATGAATATGGAAATTGAACTATATGTCTTGAGTGTTGAATACCCACATTTGGGGTTTTACCTTTGCCTATCGTACTAGCGTTGTTGTTGGGTTTATGATCTCATGATAGTTGAGTCTTCTAATAGGTGTATTGAATACATGCATCTAGAGGTTTTGTCCTTGGTCATCGGTGGAGGATGACATTGTTGTATTGAATTGTTGTGTTTGCATTACACCGGTGTTGATTGAACATTGTACGTAATGAAGTGCTATGATACATTATATATGTATAATTGTTAGGGAAGAGATAGGTGATGTACTCCAGTGTGTGGGAGGAGATAGGGGATGTACTCCACACACCCATGTGCTCATATACTTTAACACATTGCTTATGTATCTTGAGTAGTTTATGTGTACGTATTACAGTTATTGGTTGTGCTTTGTTATATTGAGATGGTTGGTATTATATACCGCGCTTAGAATAAGGGGTACCAGTGCCTTCCAGCTAGCGCCTGGAGAACTTGGACTAGGTATCATTACCTTCCAGCTTGTGTCTGGAGAATATGGCTAGTCATTTGATTGTAAGGTGTATCCTTAACTTACCGTGCTTATGGCAGGTAGAGTAGAGCTTTATTATTATTGTCTCGGTATACCTGAGTATATCATGGATTGCGATGGTTATAGTTTTGGAGGGCCGAGTTGCCTCATTTGTTGATTTTATACATGTTGATAATTTGTTATCACCTTTCTATTAAAGGCATGCATGTATAGATATGAATGTGTTGGGAATAAACCAAAATGCCATTATGAGATTTTGGGAAAGTGTGGAGGAAAATTGGGTATTTGAAAGTATGTTTTGAAAAAGGAAAAACCTGTTGTAAGTATGGAAAATGGGAGAAAAGTAATGGGCTTAGTGGAATTGTTTTCTAAGTTGGTATTGTTATGAAAGTTTGGGAACAAGAGGTAATGAAAAGAAAAGGAAGATGAATCGTTTATAATGTTGACTGAAACGACTATTTTCGAGAAAAGTTCATACTTATGTATATTTTGTATAAACTGCCACATTACTATCGTAGTATGATATTGAGCATTCATGATCATAGTTATTTGTAAGTTGTTATTGTTGAGGATCATGTTGAGATCCCTACTGGACTATATGTTCATCCCACGTTGTTGAATCTTTTTTAGGTAATAAGCAGGATGTGCTACAAGATTTTGGATCTTCTTATTTGTTGGCTACGGGGCCTCTTTTATGTTGGCGGAATGCCATTATTGTAAAAGGGTTACACCCTTCTTTTTGATTCTTTAAATAAACGATGTAAGCCTTCGAGCATTTTATTCAGTATGCTCATGTTGTATTTAATTTGCATTCAGATGAGAGAATGATTATTTATTTCTACTCACTTAAGTTCACATTAGGGGGCAGAGAGCTAGAGTGATGAACAAACTTAAGAGTTTGACACTTGTTGAAATTTTCAGAAATGGGCTTAACACTTGTTGAAATTTCGAAGAAATTTACAAGTTGGAGTTAACCGATGCAATGATAAATAAAGTATCCAAGGTACATGTTACCTGAGGTAACCAACCAGGTTGTCAAAACTTAGAAAGGGTGAAGTCTTAATAGAAGATAGTGTATGGAGGTAAAAAAGCAATAACACTTGTAAAATTATTTTTATTTTTAAAGTGTTAGCCGAGGCAAACAATCAAGGTTTATCCGAGATATTGTATCCCAAAGTTATTATATAGTTAAGGTACACTTTGAAGAAATGCAAAAATATTCTAAGTTAGGAAGGCATACATTCAACACTTGGAAGAAAATATAAGACTTGCATTTAGAAAAGAAACTTGTTCAGATACAAAAAGGAACTTTGGCCTGGCATAAAAGATTATTTGTTCATCTACAAAGACAAAAGGGGCACATCAGCCAAATATAAAGCTAACATTTTTCAAACAAAAGATTACAACTGTCCAGAAGTAAGAAGGAAAAGTACAAAAAGGAGGAAAAACCAAAGTTCATGCATTTTCCACAGTCTGCCCTGCCTTGGCAATTGGCGTTGTGTCAGCCTCGGCAGACAGCTGGGCAGATTTTTCAGCTTGGACCTCAACATCGATCTCACGCAGTGTGTCATTTAGGCTCTTGTTGACAGTCTCGACCTTGGCGTCAAAAGTGGTCTTTTAAATCTTATCCTCCTCATCCTGAGTTAAGTCAAGGACTTGCTCATTCAGAGTTGGGGACTTGGCCCCAGCAGTAGCTTCAGATTCTTTCTCGGCAACCTCAGCCTCGGCCTCTTCCTTGTCTCCGGTCTCCTCGTCTTGGCCTCTTCTACTTCCTCGGCCTCATCCTCAGATTGATTTAGAGAGGGAGGGAAAGGGACATTGAGCTGACCCATATCACAGAGGGGTGAGTTCTCGGGGACAGACATCTTTTTGAGGGCTGTCATCTACTCAAGATAATAGCCTTTGTTGCAGGCCATGTTGACTTGTTTTTTCGGCCTTAGCAATGGCCTCGGCTTTAGCGGCAGTAACTTGGTCCACTTACTTCATGTGCTTCTCTTTCGAGATATTGAGTTACTGGAGGCATGAGCATGTTGGATTGACTATAAAGAGATGGAGTGGATTGCACAGTTATGACATCAGGGATGTCAACAAGAAGGTCTTCTTCAAAAAGAGTTCGGCGAGACATGTCGTCATTGGTTACGGTGATGGTTACTCACAGATAAGGCAATTGGAAAATTATCAAGGTCTAAGGCTGGGAGCTTAGGACCTCAGTGTTTCTTATTCCTGGTTTTAGCTACAAGATTGTCGCTATGTCGGTGTTGTCACAACCATTGAGATGGTGGGTTGATGTGTGGAGCAGCTGATGAATTGTTTGGCTGTTAGTCTGGTTCAACTGGTAGAGTTTGAACCTTGGGCACAAAGGGAGTCTTCATAATAATGAATGCTTCAAAAACAGCGATGATGGTTTGCAGAGGCCAAGAGAATGAGAGTCTAGGGACACAGATAGAGACGAAATAGGAAGATGAAATGGTTTTGTTAGAATTAGAAAAATATGGGAAAAAGTTATGATTTCGAGTCCTGACGTGCCCGTGCTGACATCAGACGGCGGGGGACAAAATTGATGCGACATGATGGGGACGTGATTGGTACGCTCCAATCTCATGATGATCTCGGTTGAGATGACGATCTCGGCTGATATGGTGATCTCGATTGAGATGGTGATCTTGGTTGACATGATGACCTCAGTTGAGCTATTGATCTCGGTAGAGATGACGATCTCGGTTGAGATGGTGATTTTGGTTAACACGATGATTTCAGTTGAGATGTTGATCTTGGTTGAGATGTTGAATTTGAATGGGGGCAGAACTTGTTTATTCTTGGTTTCTGATGAGTTGATACTAGGATCTTGATGTTCTTGAACTAGCAAGTCATGATCTCTGTTAACAGTGCGATCTCTGTTGAGATGTTGGACCTAGATGAAATAAAACATGATGGTTCATGGTTTTTGGTTCTTGATTCTTGATTCTTGACAAGTGGACATTTGAGTCCTTGTTTTTGGTGCCAACGAGTCACGATCTCGATTAGAGAAATACATGTATAGGTTCCATCACCTCAGTTTGCCAAGGTAATAGAACCTAGGGGGCAGTTGTAGGGACATATTTTTAGGTAGTCCGTGTGGCCGAGGTTGTTAGCTGAGGTGCCACGTGGGCAGACCATGGTGCCGAAATATGGTGCGATAATACCGAAATTCGAGATATTTGGATAGAGGACTAGAGTCCTAGATGACATCAAGCTACCTATTTGGATAGAGATGAGACTCTTGAGGGAGTTCATCTTAATCTGAATAGTGTGAGTTGTGATAAATGTTATCTTTATAAAGAATAGAGTCCCATAAAGTAAGACTTCTAGGAGAAGTTGGACATTGATCATTATAAAAGTAAAGCACCCTCGTGGGTCTAAGGTATGCTTTATTTGAGATGCTTTTATGCTTTCATTGTTGAAGTTTAAGTACTTGTGTTGATATCTGTGAGAGATAAGATTACTGACTTGATCATCGGAGTGCCCCCGGGTGGACGAACTACCGTGGTATTCTCATATTCTTATTGACAGATGTTCGGGCTTAATCTATTCTGCCGATGCACTCCAGCTGAGTTCCCCGTTTAGTTGTGTGGTCAGAAATCAACACCCACAGTAATCTTCCTCTTCTTCTTCTTTCTCATCAAATTTTCGCATTCATTTTGCATTTGTTTGACAATTGCCTAGTTTATTCTTAGATTTCGTTGAAAATTGGAATTCATAGCGAATTTGTGATTGTGTAGGAGGCTGAAGAGGTGAAAAAGTGGGATGGATAGCCTTTTTAACTCTTTTTGAGTTTTCAATTTTTTGATTTTTTTGTGAGATGTCCACATGTGAAATTACCTAACTGTCCTTGGGGTGAAAGTAGCAAACTGCTAGGCAGTTGAGCCCATCACGTCAGTGTACTGTTTTCTTTTTCTTTTTTTTTTCAAATTTGCTTTTTTTTTTTTTTTTTTTGGAAAAGACTTTTTTATGTTTTGTTTGTTTGAACATGACGTGGAAAATGTAAATTTGGGTGATATGTTGTTTTCATATATTTTTTTTATATTAATTTGTTTTTTGTTTTGGAAAAGACTTTTTCGTGTTTTTTTTTTTTGAAATAACGTGGAAACTGTTAATTTCGGTTTCATTTTATTGACTTTTTTTTGATGTTTAATTTGTTTTTTTTTTTCGAAAAGGATTTTTCATGTTTTTTTTTAAAAAATTTAAATGATGTTGACAATGCTAATTTCGATCTCATTTTAATGTGTTTTTCTTTTCTTTTTTTTTCTTTTCTTTTCTTTGTTTTTTTTTTTGTTGGAAAAGGCTTTATTATGTTTTTTTTTTTCAAATGATGTGGAAAATGATAATTTCAATTTTTTTAAAATTTTGTTTTTTGTTTTTGGAAAAGGATTTCTTATGGTTTTTTTAAATGACGTGAAAATGCTAATTTCGGTTTTATTTTATTGTCTTTTTTTGGGTTTATTTTTTGATTAAATTTTTTTTTTGGAAAATGCTTTTTCATGTTTTTTATTTTAAATGACGTGGAAAATTTCAATTTTATTTTATTGTCTTTCTTCTTCTTGTTTTTTTGATTAATTTTTTTTTTGGAAAATGCTTTTTCATGTTTTTTATTTTAAATGACTTGGAAAATTTCAATTTTATTTTATTGTCTTTCTTCTTCTTGTTTTTTTGATTAATTTTTTTTTTTTGGAAAATGCTTTTTCATGTTTTCTATTTTAAATGACATGGAAAATGGTAATTTCAATTTTATTTTTATGCCTTTTATTTATTTATTTATTTTTTTTATTTGTTTTCTTTTTTGGAAAAGGATTTTTTATGTTTTTATTTTAAGATGACGTGCAAAATGATGTGGCTATTTTGTTTGCTAGTGGTGTGAATTGGTGCTTGTGTGAAAGTGAAGCAGATTCGCCTGGGGTAGTTTGGTAAATTCACCAAGCGCTGAGTTGTTTGTGGGCATGTGATGGTGTTTTGTTTGCTAGTGGCTACTTAGTTAATTTTGGACGAATGTGGCTATTTTAGCTCCAAACTACATTGCCAAACGAAGGACTGTTTAGGGCTAAAAAAGTTTGAAGATTTCATTCTGAGATAGATTTGCTGTTGAAACAATCACCATTAAAAGTTTCTAACCTTGAGAAATTAGTATTGTGAAGTTATTTTATTTTTTTTGTTTTTTTGGGAGGAGATCCAAATGATGTGTGAAATACCTTTACTTATATGGCTATTTGATGTTGAGAAAAAATCGTCTATTAGAGCATCTCCAGCAAGGATAGTCAAAATAACTATTTAAAATTTCACTTTATTATTTTAGCTAGTCATTTTTTTAATATACACTCCAAGAAAGCTATCTACTTTAGCTATCTTCTAGTCGTACAAATATATGTGCATTTTAGCTAAATTTGTTGTTATTTTCCTCTTTATCAAAAATAAATATAAACATATAGAAAATGATAAACTATAAATATTTTCAAATATTTGTATTCTAATTAGTCCACGAGATATTCTTGTATTCCAATAAGTCTTATTATTTAAACATTTGATCTACCAAACCCTACTTTTCATATTTAAGGTATTTTATGGACATTTTTACCCTTACAAATATTTTTTGAATGGTTAACAATTTGGTGATGTGAACATTCATATTTTACAATATGAATATTCACATTGACGTGTGAATGCTCATATTGATAGTGTGAACATTCATATTGACAATCTGAATATTCACATTGATATGTTAACATTCATATTGACGGTGTGAACATTCACATTGTAATGTGAATATTATTAGAGGTATTTTGGTAACTATGTTACCCATAGGACTTAGAATATAAAAAAATAATGTGAACTAAATAAAATATAAGTAGGTAAAAAGAGATTTATGAAAAAGTTCTCCATAAATATTACTAAACAATATCTATACCTTACATTCAAATATATATATATACAAATAAATATTTTATACGGAATTTTTTGATGTAGTTGTTCAAAGGTCCATGTAAATAGAATTTTTATATGATATTTTCAAATGTATTAATGTGGCTCGTCCTCTTATTTTATAATTGAAATTGCCTAATTTTGGTTTATAATATTAAAAATGTCAGTATCACATAGGATATTCTTGAATAACCAAACCAAACCAAACCAAGCCTTAAGTCCCATCAAATGGGGTCGGCTACATGAATCCTTCTTCTCCACGCGACCCTATCAAAGGCCATTTCATTAATCAAATTAAGTAGATTCATATCTCTATTTAAAACGCTAGTCAATGTTAATCTAGGCTTACCCCGTCCCCTAACACTTCCATCTACTGTTACAGTATCGCATCTCTTCACTACTGCTTCTGTTGGTCTCCGTTGAATATGACCAAACCATCTCAAACGATTCTCTCTCAACTTATCTTCTATCGGTGCTACTCCTACCCATTCTCGAATACACTCATTCCTAATCCTGTCTTGTCTTGTCTAGTCTTACCACACATCCACCTTAGTATCTTCATCTCAGCCACACTCATCTTATCTACATGTTGTTTCTTGATTGCCCAACACTCCGTCCCATACAACATAGCTGGTCTAATAGCCGTTCTATAAAACTTACCTTTTAGTCTATTGTGTATTCGTTTATCACACAATACCCCAGACGCACTTTTCCACTTACACCATCCCGCATTAATCCTATGGGCCACATCTGCATCAATCTCTCCCGCTGTTGTGATAATCGACCCTAAATAACGAAAATGTTCACTCTTAGGCAATTCTTGATTCTCAATCTTCACTTCTCTTCTACTTTCATTGTTACTGTTACTAAATTTACACTCCATGTATTCTGTCTTAGTTCTGCTTATCCGGAATCCTTTAGATTCAAGAGCTTTTCTCCAAATTTCTAACTTTGTGTTAACTCCTTCTCTAGTCTCATCCACTAGCACAATATCGTTTGCAAAAAGCATGCACCATGGTATGCCATCCTGAATATTTATCGTCAACTCGTCCATAACTAAAGCAAAAAGATAAGGACTTAAGGTAGATCCTTGGTGTAACCCTACAGTGATAGGAAATTCATTTGTCTCTCCAGCTGGCGATCTAATAGTGGTCACCACCCCTTCATACATGTCCC